AATTTTATAATTAATCGTATTCATTCATATTTATTCTTCATTGTGTTGGTGATGTACAATGCTGTTTCTTATTAAGCTCGAGAAATCATTGGCCAATCTAGATTCCTACCCGATCTCCGCCACTGACCATTTACACAATGAAATATTCTATCTCTTAACTGATCAGTGAGCTTATCATATAATATGTTTTTTTGTTAATGGTGTATCATTTAATCCATAGATAAATAAATATTTATGATTCAGACCCAGAGGCAAACACGCCAATGGCACACAAAATCAAAAAAGAAAATATGTAAAATTGTRTATATAAATAGTTAATGTCCCTTATATTTTGCCATTATGGATACTTTATTACGCTTTATACATAATTTATTAACTATGTTAATAGTTAGCGGTTTTTACTTATATGTGAAAAATAAATGCCGTCATTATTTYATAAAAATTTTATCACTAAATTATTTTTGATTTAATAATCTTAACTGCACTGCGTATTCATAATATTATGACAATATAGGCACCAGTTAAAAAAAAATACTTTGTGGTTTCGTGTAAACATCAAAATTTATTAAAATCAATAGAATATTTTTAAAATAAATAAGAAACCCAGGRCTCAGGAGTATATTATCGTATATTTTCTCAAGTTATTATAATTAATATATTATTCACCATCACGATTCACTTAAAGCATTAGTTAAAGTAAAACAGTTAATCATAATAGTTTATTTTGTTATTTTGTATCAATCATGGTTATAGTAACAACTTTAGACATTTAATCATAAACTATTTGATAAGCTTTACTATATGGAATGTTTAATAACATTAGTAACTAAMATATTTTGTAATAGAACATTGACTTTTGGCACTTATATGATAAATTAACTTGTAAAATTTTGATAGATTAAATGCATAAATATTTCAAAATATATGAGTTATAAAAAAATAATATATTTCGTAGAACGTAAAATAGGTCGTAAGATTAATAAATKATTACTGTATCGTACACAATCGTATTACGACAAGCGGAGACGAACTTTAATATTTTTCCCTCGAATCCACCATGGCCATTTCGACCATTTCCATTGTTGAGTTAGCGACAGTCCATTCAACATTTTTTTTCAACCTCTATATCTAGTATATGGTCTAATCTTTATCAATACATTATTTAGGTACCACATTTTGGTTCTTCCCCCATCATGTCGTTTTAGATTTATTCTACTCGAAACATATGCGATAGCAAAAATATATCCTCATCTCATCATACCCTTTTCCCACGGGTTTTATCTGAAAATCCCGTCACTCCAATAGATGTTCATTTATGTATTACTGCTCGGCATTGTTGGTCCAAGAACGGAATACATCAACCAAAATCAAACAACTAGCTGAGTGACCTTTACAGGAGATGTTTACCGCTCTGGCAGCATATTTAAAACCATACGATCATATTACACGTTGACAACCAGGGTCAAATTACTCATGTTAACTACAGCGAACTCGTGACACTAAACTTTCAGTAATGGATCGGTTACACGTGAACACAATTTGATATGAAAATGTAATGCCACCATTAAATGAAATCCAACATGAAATTGGAT